CTGTTTTTTTCCAGTTTAGATTATCCATCTTTACTCACTTAATAATCAATACATATTAAGTGCCAACTCTATGCTGGCTGCATAATAACCATGGGTAATATAATGCGTACGTGTCAGAATAATATGGCGTATAATGTACAGTTTAATAATTATTGTATAATCAGTGCAAGCCTCTCTTCTTTAGAATTTAAACATATAGAAAGAAAACAAAATGTATTGATTTGTGAGCTTTATCCCAGTTTTCAGATGTCAGTACCGTGCCATCTGTTTGTGCTAAGCAATGCCCCTTTGATACCTGTAGCTGTTTCCTAAGTCATACATATGGCAGATAATGGATTGCATTAGCCACTAGGGAAACTTGCCTTGCAATTCAAAACTATTTTCTCAGCAAATACATCTCCTAACCCGCTTATAATATTGAATCTCCCTGCTGTTGGTGTTGTAAGCCATGTCCTTTTTTTTTTTTTTTTTTTTGTGGAGAGGTTTTTGCTGTAGTGTGAGTGCACTCGCCCGAAGGACAGAGAGACAGAAAGCGAGAAATCACCCCCCCGCCCCAGGGCAGTGGTCACACCACAATCCTTTCTTCTCCATTCTCCTCTCAGGATCTTGGGCACGCACACACATGCGCCCAGCATGAGTTTAAGCCACCAGGTCCAGGACTTGAACCACAGTCGATTACATGGGAGTCCAGTGACATAGCCATTATGCCAACTGCTAGTCCCAGCCATGTCCTTTAAAAAAAAAAAAATTGTACAGGATCTTTACTTTTTTTAGAAACACTCAAATTTTTACTTAGTACTTCCAAAAAACTCAAGATCTGTATCTGAGCCCCGGAAGATGTGTTAATGAATAAGAATGGTCAAGGCTGTCCTTGTAGGTCAAAATAAATATCGACTCTAAAATATGCAGTTTAGGTACAAGTAATTCCAACCGTGTCTCAGCTGCTTCCATTTTCTAATTCATCATTTTCAATGAGAAAGTATAAAACAGGGCAGAGACTCGATCATTTATCAGCACTTTCACTTACAGATGCATGGGAATGAGATGTGCACATGTTAAGTTCATTTTTCTTGTGGCATTTTTCTGGAACATTTTTGGATAACCTTTGTGAGATGCAGTCTAATCTAACTTCACCTGGGGCTCTGGGTGGCCTGGTAGACTCTAGGATAGAAAGTACCCTCTTTTGGTTTCTTTCTTTATCGTTTTTTTTTCCCCAATTAATTTTTTCTCACATAAGAAGAGTGGTTTTATAATATAATGAACTTAGACTTTCCACTTTTTGCTTCCCTTTTTGTATATTCTAGTTCAATATATTTGCTCTTAATATTCTTCTTATCCCATCTTGTTATTCAGAATACTTCCATTAAGCAACTACAAAGTGTCAGACATTATACTATGTAATGGGATACAGTGCTGAGTAAAATAAACATGCCAACTAACTTCACAGAGATTTCTGACTATGGGGAGAATTACTTTGTTTTGAGCTATAAGAAGAGATATGTTCTCCTGTGGCAAAAATTTTTGCGTTTGAACTTTTAGGCATCATCTACTTTACCTTGATTAGTAACCCCCCAGGTTTGTGATGCAGTGTCTAACTACCTTCATTTTTAATGCATTTATTCATAATCCTTAAATGAGTCCTCATTTTAGGAATCAGTAGTTGACCACCCTTCCTCTACTAACTCCTGGTGTTATGTGTGGAGGGCTGTGATCTGTGCAGCTGGGTGCTGGACTTTCCTGAATGCTCAGCTGTTGTCTAGGGAGGGAGTGGAGGTTGTGAGGGGTTCCAGAATTTTCTTTCCCAGTCCCTTCAGAATAACTCAAATATTGGCTATTCCATGTAAGAAGTTTCAGAACAATAGAAATTCTGTAAAAATAAAACCAAAACAATTGAACAATAACAAAAACAAATTACCAAAAAGAGAAAAGTTAAGGTTTTAGAAATGTCTTACCTGGTGTAACACTTTTGCTTTTCAAATGTTGTAATGGAACATAGGCCCCAAGATGTGACTGGGCTTGCAGGTGGTCAAACCAGGGCTGGCAGACTGCCTTTCTCTCTTGCTGCTTTCATGGGACACACCAAATCCATTCTTAAACCAAAGACTTTGGAAGTAGTGCTTCTGTTCTGTGTGATACTGAATGAGTCAAAGTCAAAATCCTCAGGTGGTCTCTCAGAATTCTGAATGAACACTCCAGTTGATGTTATTCATAGTCTGAAAACCGCTGCTGTTGTGGACAGAGATGGGATTTGGAAAAGAAAGATATTATGTGTGTGTGAATTGACTCCCCAGTATGCTAACAGTATCATCTCTTATCATTTTTCATTATTATTATTTATTTTTGGAGAGGTTATTTTTGCTATAGGGCACGTGCACTCTCCAGACAGACTGAGAGAGACAGAGAGATAGAAAGCGAGAAATCACCCCCGAGAGGGGATGGCCTCACAGCAATCCCTTCTCCTCCATTCTCCTCTCGGGATCTTCGGCACACACGCACATGCTCCCAGCGCGAGTTTAAGCCACCGGGTCTGGGACTCGAACTGTGGTCGACTACGTGGGAGTCCAGCGACATAGCCATTACGCTAACTGCTGGTCCCTCATTTTTCATTATTGACAGGCAAAATAATATTCATCTAAAACATTGACTCCAGAAGCCAGCAGGGGGTGTGGTGATTAAGGGTGCTGGACTCCCACATGGTCGACTGTGGTTTGAGTCCTGGACCTGGTAACTTGCTTTCTCACTTTCCCTCTCTTTCTCTCTTTTTCTATGTCCCTCTCTGGTCAAATTAAAATAAATAAACAAACTAATTAATTAATTAGTTAAAATAAAATAAAATAAATTATAAAATGATTCTTAAAACATTGGCTCCTGGGACCAGCAGTTAGCGTAATGCTATGTCGCTGGACTCCCACGTAGTCAACCACGGTTCGAGTCCCGGACCCAGTAGCTTAAACTCACGCCGGGTGCGTGTGCGTGCGTGCCCAAGATCCCAAGAGGAGAATGGAGGAGAAGGGATTGCGGCGTGGCCATCCCCCCTGGGGGTCCTTGATTAGTAACCCCCCAGGTTTGTGATGCAGTGTCTAACTACCTTCATTTTTAATGCATTTATTCATAATCCTTAAATGAGTCCTCATTTTAGGAATCAGTAGTTGACCACCCTTCCTCTACTAACTCCTGGTGTTATGTGTGGAGGGCTGTGATCTGTGCAGCTGGGTGCTGGACTTTCCTGAATGCTCAGCTGTTGTCTAGGGAGGGAGTGGAGGTTGTGAGGGGTTCCAGAATTTTCTTTCCCAGTCCCTTCAGAATAACTCAAATATTGGCTATTCCATGTAAGAAGTTTCAGAACAATAGAAATTCTGTAAAAATAAAACCAAAACAATTGAACAATAACAAAAACAAATTACCAAAAAGAGAAAAGTTAAGGTTTTAGAAATGTCTTACCTGGTGTAACACTTTTGCTTTTCAAATGTTGTAATGGAACATAGGCCCCAAGATGTGACTGGGCTTGCAGGTGGTCAAACCAGGGCTGGCAGACTGCCTTTCTCTCTTGCTGCTTTCATGGGACACACCAAATCCATTCTTAAACCAAAGACTTTGGAAGTAGTGCTTCTGTTCTGTGTGATACTGAATGAGTCAAAGTCAAAATCCTCAGGTGGTCTCTCAGAATTCTGAATGAACACTCCAGTTGATGTTATTCATAGTCTGAAAACCGCTGCTGTTGTGGACAGAGATGGGATTTGGAAAAGAAAGATATTATGTGTGTGTGAATTGACTCCCCAGTATGCTAACAGTATCATCTCTTATCATTTTTCATTATTATTATTTATTTTTGGAGAGGTTATTTTTGCTATAGGGCACGTGCACTCTCCAGACAGACTGAGAGAGACAGAGAGATAGAAAGCGAGAAATCACCCCCGAGAGGGGATGGCCTCACAGCAATCCCTTCTCCTCCATTCTCCTCTCGGGATCTTCGGCACACACGCACATGCTCCCAGCGCGAGTTTAAGCCACCGGGTCTGGGACTCGAACTGTGGTCGACTACGTGGGAGTCCAGCGACATAGCCATTACGCTAACTGCTGGTCCCTCATTTTTCATTATTGACAGGCAAAATAATATTCATCTAAAACATTGACTCCAGAAGCCAGCAGGGGGTGTGGTGATTAAGGGTGCTGGACTCCCACATGGTCGACTGTGGTTTGAGTCCTGGACCTGGTAACTTGCTTTCTCACTTTCCCACTCTCTTTTCTCTGTGCATGTCTTTCTCTGGTCTAATTAAAATAAATGATAAAACAAAAAAAATTAAATAATTATTTTAAAAAATAAAAAAGATGGGGCAGGCAGGGGGCGCAG